AACAATAAAAAGAAATAAAAAGTTGAAAAGTTAATAACTTTACAATTCATTCTTTTCATACTTAATGAAGTATTACAATCAAATTTTAATTTAAAGAAGTAAATAAATATCTTTCATTTGAACGTTCAGGACATTTTTTCACTTTTAAATTAAATACAAATTTTCTTATTTTAATTTTAAATTCAATTTTTTATTATTTTATTTAAATTTATTTTTTTAAATTTCAATTTTTTAAAGTTTGGTTTGAATTTTTTTAGTTTTAAATTTAGTTTTTTTATAAAATTAAATTTTAAAAATAAAGGTAAAAGGGTCGACTTTTAAATATTGAGATATCGGAAATAATTGAATAATGCAAAAGTATTAAAACCTAATTAAGTCTCCGTGAGGGAAATTGAAGTTCTAACAATTTACGTTTCACAAAGCTTTTCGTAGTAAACCATAACTCTCTACTCAACATACCTTTGACAACCCACAGAATTGAGGAATACTTATGTAACAAAATTAACACCTCACAATGAAACTCGACGCTAAATTTGATTTGTCCTCTAATTATCCGACATCACACATGTGTCCTATTGAGGAACAATTTCAAATTCACTTTTAAAGTTGTAACGTCTTTCAATTAATTTAGTCGATAAAAATATTATCCAAATCAGTAATTTTAAATTTCAGACGATTTTCACTAATTAACAATTATTTAATTATGGTATTACAAAAATAAACAAGTGAGTAAATGAAATTAGTAAATAAAACCTTTTCAAATTAAACAACTCATAAGAATATTATTATAAAACATAAAGATATCGATCACTCCGAGTCTTCGACTCGGAGTAATCCATTTCTTTATGTTTTATAATAATTAAAGATGACGTACTGATAAAATCATTATTTTATATTATAAAAATATTTCTGTAATTTAATATTTAATATTTAAATTTAATATTACTATTAATTAATTTTTGTAATATTTCTGTAATTTCTTCAAAATTATTTGTATCATTTCAATTCAATTAACATTTTCTAGAATTTTTAACTAAAATTCTACTTTAAATCAATAACATCAATTATTATTATTGAATTAAACTTTTTCAAAGAAAATTAATTCTACAGAATTGCTAGTTAAAAGTACGAAAAACAATAATTAAATTCTACGAGAAATCAATTATTTTAATACAAAAATAAATAATATTGAATACATATTTCTTAAAATTTAATTTTTACGAAGAATTGTATTAACAACTTTTGAAAATATTTAATTTCTTTTAAGGAATTTAATTAAAATTTTAATGAAATTTATTGTATTAAAGAATTTTATAACAATTTTTGAAAATAATTGAAAACTTTTTGAAGAATTTTATTAAATTTTTAAAAAACTAATTGAATTCCTGAGAAGAATTTAAATAATAATTTTTGAAAACAATTGAATTCATGAGAAGAATTTTATTACAATTTTTTAAAATAATTGACTTGTTGAGAAGAATTTTTAAAAAATTTTCAAAATAATTTAATTTCTGCAAAGTATTTTATTACTTTTCAAAAGAATTGAATTCTTGTGATGAATATTGATATTTATCAAAATAATTGAATTTTGGAAAAGAATTTTATTAGAATTCCTTAAAATAATTGATTTTATGGGGAGAATTTTGTTGGTTATCAAGATAATTGAATTCTTTTGCTTACTTAAAAATTTTTGAAAATAATTAATTTTCTGCGACGAATTAAATGTTATTTATGAAAATATTTGAATTATTGCAACGAATTTTATTGTTTTATTGAATAATTGAATGTTTCTTAAAATTGAATTTTTTCCTCAAGTTTTAATAAAATTTTTAATAATAATTGCATTTTTCAAGGAATTTATTTAAAATTGTATTAAAAATATTTGAAATTTTGCGATGAAAATAATTGAATTCGTAAATGAAATTTTATTATTTATGAAAATAATTGAATCTTTTCGTAGAATTGTATCAACAAGTTTTTTCTATAATTAAATCTGTTGATAAATTTTATGAAGATAGTAAATATTTAAAAACATTGAATTGCAAAAAACTTTTAAAAATAATTGAAATGTTGCAAAGAATTTTATTTAAATTTTTGAAAATAATTGAATTTTCGGCCAAAAATTTTCCTATTTATAAAAATAATTGAATTCTTTTGCAGAATTACTTAAAAATTATTGAAAATAATTAATTTCCTGCGACGAAAAAAATAGGGTACGTTTAGGGGCCAAAATTAAAAAAAGAGGACTTTTAGGAAAATAGGGGACAGACTGTGAAGCCTGAGTTTACTATTGAAATTATTTCCCTTTTTTCCAAAGTGTTTTAAAGTTTTTTTTAACTAATTAACCCTAATTATATGTTGAAAAAATTACTACTTCAGAAAATAAGGAAGCAAATATTATATGAATTTCATTTTAAAACATGAGTAATGTATAATGCCTTTTTAGTCGTACGATCTTTCATTTACATTTTTACTGACCTACGTAAAAGTTTGTATGTATGTAATTTTTAAGCAAAAAGTATATAATTCTTTTCACGAATAACCTCTTCTATATGTATATACATAATACGATAATCGGATGTGTGTGGAAGGAAAATAGGATTTACGTGACGAGGTTAAAGAAACTGATATTGCACTACATCAATGCTCGATTTCACATCTGAATTCCAAATGTATCGAAAGATAAAATTAAAAATAATGTTTCACACAATTTTCCCGCTGGAAGGAAAAATCGAAGAAAACTTCTTTCAACCGAAAAATTTATATTTGTTATTTTTCTAGTTTTAAACTAACAAAAAAATTTTAACTAAAAAAATTTTTAACTAATTTCATTCAAATTTTTAAAAATAATTGAATTTCAGAGAAGTGGAACATGTGGAACATTTTAAAATTACACATTTACTTACTTAAGAATAAATGTTGTTAGTATAAAAAATAATATTTTAAAAAGAAAAAAAAATTAAAAGAAGTAGATAAATGTCGTTCATTTGCACGTTCGATACTTGAACTTGTATTGTTGTACAATAAACCTGTTATTATGTAACTAAAGTTGAATAATAAACAATTCATCAAAAAGTGTTAAGTTTTCCACACAAAATTAACTAAAAATGTATATTTTCGAACTTGAAACGTTCTTACAAGAAATGATGGATGAAGGATTTCAGAACCGTTTAAGCAAAAGATGTGAATTTAAGATAAGTGTTACTAAATCTCGTCCGCATTATTATATTTTAGCATAAGCAAACAAAGTTGTTAACATATACTCAAAACAAAAGTTGTATTTTATTTTTGCTCTTCTGCTCATGGCAGTTGAATGATGGATCGCTATGTACAAAAATTATTACTTTTTTTCTTATAATTTCCCCTAAACGAAAATTAACTAACTCCCAATTTTATTTTTAATTTCCAAAAAAAAAAAGTTAAAATAGCTTTTATATTTCTAAAACGTCAATATATTTTCTGATAGAATGAATTAAATAATAAAAAGCACTCGATCTAGTCATATTGAAATTGCTATTCACACCATGTCCCATCAACTGGAAATTTTAAACGTCATAGATATACTTTCAGGATGAAAAGCGAACATCTTTGAAGTTTTAATTTTGTAGAAACCAATTTTTAATCATACAGTAAAGTTAACAGTAAAGTTAACAGGAAAGTTAACCGATTAAAGTGACATAGATTTTATTTACTATATATGTTATGCGTGCATCTAAAATTTATTTCTATGCAAAAGGAGTTAAAACAAATGAATGCCCTCATTCTTTAGTTTCTATTGTAATAATGCCGTATTAAATAATTATAATATCACCTTCTTATACGAAACTTTTTATAAGTTTTATGTATAGTTTATTTTAGCTTCTCAAAACTCTCTTAAATGTGTTGAATCTAAAAAGTTAAACTTCATACTGTTCTTCCTCTTTTCAACCCAAAAAATTAGCGAGAAATTATCGGAAAAGTAAAGTTTGTAATTTGTCCCATAATACAAGATACCGAATCTTGTAAACTTGATAAAACAAAAATGTGGTTGTTGCATAAAGAGGCACTTTTCTTATAGTGAACATTTTCTAGAGAATTTTTATTTTTAAGTAGGATTTAAGAATTTAGAATGTTGGAAACGATCTACCTTCTCCAAAAGGAAATGTCAATTAAAAATTACAGAATATGTTATAAAATTTGAATCGTTTTGAATCGTTGAAAGTGAAATGGTTTTTGTTATTTATTTCTTAAAATATGTGTTTCTTAGCGTCAATGAATTTACATTCTTGTGTTGATTTGCTATGGTTTGTGTTGACTGTGACCCTTGTTGACGAAAATTACTAATCAATGTACACAGACCGCAAATAGAAAATCTTGCTTTTCGATGTAATGGGATTAAATTCAAAATTTCACAGGACGAGCTCATTATGTTAAAGTTGTCATTAAATCAGAAAAGTCCATCTGTTGTACATTATTCAATTACCTCTTATCAAATCAATTTATGAAAAACAATCCGAAAACAATTTTAGAAAACAACAGCATCGAGAATATTTGTCTCAAATTGATTTTTCGTCAGTATTGAAAAATTTTGAAACTAAAAGAAACGGAACATTTTTGAAACTAAAAGAGACGGAAAGTTTTTTCCATAAATGTTTTTTCATTCTAGAAAACTTTTTATGGAATATTTTTGAAAATCAAAGAGAACAGAGCATTTTCACTAAACCTTGAGACTAATAAAATACCCGAGATGTTTAACAATAAATACTTGAGGAACATGGAGGAAAATAATAAGATAGAATGTAAACAAAGACAAGGAAGTATCCTTGGAAATGCATCTCTTCGCCTTACTCATATCCTGGACAAACTTATCAATAATTCTCTTATCAAACTTTGACAACAGCTTCAAAGCGATCTTTCACAATTGACACAAAACTTTTCCAAATGGAACCACCCAATTTCATCTTTTCACCTACATTTATATACAAACATAAATACTTTATAGAAAAAGCTAATAAAAATACCTGAAAGAGTATCGATTCTTCTTATCTTCCTCTCCCCCTTCTCCTCTTTTCTTCGCCAAACAACTCCTTTTAAACAAATTTTTTACTCGGGTAGATTCGAATAAATCTATCCGGTGCTCCTCGACGACAATCTCATTGAGTTCAATGAGATAATTCCAACTTCACCTCTCTTTTCACCACAAAAAAAACACTTGATCCTCTTAATAATATAAGAGTACCGCTTTCTCAACAATAAAATATGCGTCGCATTTAATTACATGAAAACATTTAATCTTCTTCTCTCACCAATAACAATTTTGCACCCTTCGCGATAATCACCCGCGAGTAAAATCGATCGACTAGTCAACTTACTCGAAATGACGCGCATCGATCGCGCATTCCGTTTAGCGAAAAAAGGGAGCAGTGGACTCCAAAAAAATCTCGAGGATTACCGGATGGGGAAATCCGATCGTGGACCACTCGATGAAAATCGACACACACCGTCTTCGTACCTCACTGGCATCAACACTATCCTTTCACTCTTCCGTTTCCTCTTTCTTCACTCTTTCGTTTCTATTTCTTCTTCTTTGTTGTTGTTATCTTTTTTCTTTCCTCCCCCGGGGAAATTTTCTGTTTTTTGTAAATTAAAATGTATCTTAAAATTCTATTTTTCAGCTCGAAATAGAGACTTTGGTATGTAGCGGGAAACGCGATAAACTTTAGTGGGGAAAAGAAAGTGAGAAAATCGCGAAACGTAGGTCGTCTTTCGTTCTCGAGCGAAAGCGCCGGACGTACTAGTGCACGAGTGGAACTGACGAGGAACCTGGCAGGCTCCCCTAGACGCTGCGCGCTCCGCTGTCCTGCGTGAAAACCGTACGCTATTGAGGGTACCTACAATATCGACGTCATCGACGTTTTTACCGCACTACATCGTCCGCCCACCTGGATCGTTGCCCGCGGCCTGCCTTTTGTATCCCGCCCTGGATCCTACGCGAATCTTTCGAGTCTAAGGCGAGAGCGTGGGTTGATACACACAGGGGTCGTAAACCAGACTCGGATTAAGAAAGCATCATCTCTTCTGGGAAAATAGAAGAGATGAGCGAAGCAACCACCCGGAGAACGTAAATAATTATTACACTCTCCATTGTCAATAGCCAAACGCCGAGGGGTAGGATATTTTTGCTTTTAGAAAATACGAGCAATTTTTTTTATCCAAACTGTTGCTGGTGTTTTTTAGTTTTGGAAAAAAATTATCCGGGGCGCAGGGGTCGAACGCCAACCGATTTTCTAATGTCGGTTGCTTACTCTAACCACTACGCTACGCCACACTAAGAAAAACTGAGTCAAAAAAACAAGCTTTTAATACTTTTTTAAATCTTTTTTTGTGTGTAAATTTTTTCTTTCTCTTTTAAACAGAGTTGCGACTAAAATTTTATTTTGTTTTCCCTGATTTCCAGACAAGATTTTTATTTTTTTCCTGACTTAAATTTTATTCAGTGTTCTCACAAAAATGTGACATTTCCAATATTTTATTACTTTGTATAACTTTTTACTAAACTTTTTTTAAGTTTCTTTTAATAAATCAATTATTTTTAATAATTTTCCAAAATTTTTTCTTAAATTCAATTGAAATACAAACATCTAATTATCTATAATAATTTTAATTGTTTAATTAAAGATGACCGAGCGATAAAATCATTATTTTAAATTACAACTCTTCAAGGTTATTATAAAAGTTATTATTTATATATAAACAGTTATTAAAGTTATTTAAAAAATATAACGAAAATATTAATTAATATATTATATTAGATATTAATATCTATTAAAAGTACAATAGATTTTTTGAAAAATGATAATAAAAAAAATCTCAAAATTATTATTCTCTTAATTTTTAAATACATTAGCTTCTTTTTTAAATAAATATTTATTCATTATTATATTTTTCCATAGAAATTAAAATTCTTCAAAAGATTCAAATTCAAACTTTTAAGAATATTATTGTAAAACATGAAGATATCGATGACTCCGAGTCGAAGACTCGGAGTAATCGATTTCTTCATGTTTTATAATAATTAATGACCGAGCGTTAAAATCATTATTTTAAATTATAACAATATTTTTAATGTAACCTTTTCAAAATTATTTCCATTATATCAATTGTTGTTGAAAAAAATTTGATTTTATTTTTTCCTGACTTCCAGACGCAGCATTTTGACTTTTTCCTAGGACCTAAAAAGAAATTTTGATTCATAGGACAGTAAATTAAATTTTTTTTTTTTACTATTTTAATTTATTTATTTTCTAAAAGTTTTAACTAAAACAATTTTTTAAATAAATTACTTTTAATAATTTTTGAAGAAGTTCTTTAAAAATTAAATTATTTAAACATAGAGAAAAAGTTTTTGGGTAAAAAATTCAAAAAGAATTAAATCTTGAGAACATTTTCAACGGCTGAAATTAAAAAAAAAAATTTGAATAAAAATTGTCCAAGAAACTTGTTTCAAATTTAAAATTAAAATTATTTATAATTCAAATTTTCTAAAATTTGAAATTGAAACGTTTTGAAATTCAATTATTTACAAAAGTTGTAAGCGAAATTTTTATAGAATTTAATTATTCTTGGAATTTTTGAAAAAGTTTATTAAAAATTCAATTATTTAAACAAAAAGAAAAAGTTTTTGAGGAAAAAAAATTCAAAAAGAATTGAATCTTGATAATATGTTGAAAGGTTGAAATTACAAAAAATTTGGATAAACATTTTCCAAGAAACTTGTTCTAAATTTTAAATTAAAATCATTTATAATTCAAATTTTCTAAAATTTCAAATTAAAACGTTTTATTCAATTATTTACAAAAATTGTAAACGTAACTCTTATAGAATTCAATTATTCTTGGAATTTTTGAAAAAGTTCTTTGAAAATTCAATTATTTAAACAAAAAAAAAAGTTTTTGTGAAAAAAAATTCAAAAAGAATTAAATTTTGATAATATTTTCAAAGGTCGCTGGACACCAAAATAATTGAATTTAATTTTAATCTACATAAAGAGAAAATTTTCACTCATTTTCTAAGAAATTCAGGGAGAAAATATAAAATTTAATCTAAAAAATATGCAAACTAAATAATTCACCTATCCTGATGAGATCTTAATATCTTTTTTATATTCACCGAAGAAAAAAATAAAACAGCAAAGATATTTTAATCGGAAAAAATAATTTCGTGCGAACGAGAACGAAATGTTCTCCACGACCATTTAGTAGGTAATATTTATGCTGCAAAATATGTATCAAGGGAGGTACTATAAAGTTTCACATGGTAAAAAATGATTTCATTTGGGAAAAGTGTTACAGCTTTTTTAAAATTTCTTTCTAAAAATAAACAATTCAAACCCCTCGAAATTATAATCAAATCATAAAATAAAGTTTCTGCGTTTTTCTGGAAAATAATTTTAACTTATGAAAAGCTTTTCTCACTTTCTTTTATATCGCGCGCGCATATTCTTAAAAATCTTCAACTACACTATTTTAAGAAAAACTAAGAGCTTTTAACATATTGTTTACAATTCTAGAGAATTTTTTTCTTAAAAAAAATACCTATATAGAAACGAGTGCATGGAAATAACTCTAAAGCTTTTAAATCTCGCAAGTAAAACATAAAAGATTCTTAAGAACAAGTTAGAATGTCTTTTAATCTTAGAAACGAGGTGAAAATATAAATATTATAAAGAAAAAATGCCAGAAGGATAAAGTATTCAAATATAATAAAATTATACAATCACCAATCGGAAAATCGTCTGAATTTTGCAAAATTAACTTTAATGGAAATAAAACTAATTTAAAGAAATGTAAAAAATGTTTTTGAACTTTAAAAAAAATAGAAAAAAATTAACTTTGAAATAATGGAAATAAAACTAATTTAAAAAAATGTTTTTAAGCTTCAAAAAAAAAATTAGAAAAAAAGGTTGATATCAAATATAAATTCGGTTCTGATAAAGAAAGAAACGTAAACCTTAGCCCTCCAACATTACGTCGTTCAACCTTTTTCCCTCATTCAATATAACTGACGGCTTTCTGACTGCCTTTTTTATCTTTAAAAAAGTTCGGGCCGGATTTCATTTAAAAAAATGTGGATTTAATGCAAAAGTGAATTAAAAATATACGGAAAAAAATTGGAACTTTTGTATTTAGAAATATTCAGAGAAATCTTCATCATTTTCTTATTGTTATATTTAAAATGGACATTAGAAATTTTTATCCATAATCATTTTCTCGACCGCTATCAAATTAACAACAGTGGCAATTTATCTGAACCAAAATATAATTTTCCCAGTGTATTAAAAATAGTTTGCCATAAAAAAAAGTTTCTCCCATAAAAAAAAGTTTTAAGAAAAATTGCTCTTCTTGAGAAATGAGAGAACATTAAAAAAGGAGTCAAAATGATCATCGCACACGTAGAATGCAGACCAGAAATGTGACGCTTTCTTTTTATTGTAGAACACATTATCGCTGACCTTTTATTGCAACTTGTATCAAGAAAGGGAACCGAGATCCATTTAACGATATTGGTTGAGAAAAGTAGTTATATATGTGTTGTCGATGCCGGAAAAGTATAAATGCTATCAGAAAGCAGAGCAGATACGCCCTTTTAAAAGTGATTTTGCGATATGTAAGTAGTAGGTGTTCTGTCATTCAGGATCTAACAAACTCAATCTCCCTCACAACTTTTTTTTTTCTCTTTAAAGTCACAAAAGGGCGCAGCCCCTTTTTCTTTCTGACTGACCTTATCTATTTACTTTTTTATATTATCTCATCCCTCTCTCTCTCTTTCTTTCTCTTTCACTCCCTTTCTTCCATTTACAGACTTTCTCTAAATTTCCTGAAGCCAAAATTTCACTTGAGTTTTAGTGTTGAAATCTTTGAAGTATAATATATTTGTATTCTTTTGGTATAAAATCTATTTTTTTTGTATCTTAACAATTAAGTTGTAAATAATTTCAGGGAAGACAAGTGGAATGTTAACTAAAAACGGGGATTTTTATCGAAATTTGTAGGTTAAGTGACGTCAGAGGGGAAAAAAGGGTCGCGCATCCGCTACGCGCATGCGTGCCCCTTTTTTTCCCTCTGACGTCACTTAACCTACAAATTTCGCGTTTTCGATTATTTTTGTCATAAAAACTCGTGTACAACAAAGAAAGTAAATCCAAATTTATGTTCTAAATACAATATCAGAACTCTATTTTGCCTTCCTTGTTTGCATTCCTATCTTCTAATTATTATTATAATAATTTAATTAATTAATTAATTATATATAATTCAAAATGTATATTTACTTACGAATAAAATCGAGAGAAACAATTTGTTGTTTAACTCACCTGAAACAAAAAAAAAGAAATTACTTTACATAAGAATTATTATAGAAAAAAATATAAAGAATGAAACAAATATTAATTTCTATTAAATAATTCTAAAAAATTACTTCCATTAATGTATTAATTAAATAACAGTCCTTGGATCGACTTTAAGGCACCTTTTTTAAATTCAAACTTATAAGAATATTATTTTAAAACAAGAAAAAATAGATCACTCCGAATTAAAAACTCAGAGTAATCGATTTCTTCATATTTAATAACAATAAAAGATGACCGAGTGATAAAATCATTATTTTAGATTATAAGAATATTGTTAATGTAACTTTTTCCAAATTAATTTCATCATTTCAATTGTTGTTGAAAAAAATTTTATTTTATTTTTTCCTCACTTCCAGACAAAATTTTGACTAAAACAATTTTCTAAATAAATTACTTTTAATATATTTTTTGAAGAAGTTCTTTGAAAA